CCGCCCCCCCCCCCCCTCTCCCTCCTGGCGGCCTGGATACAAAAAAAATAACTCTGAAAGACGGATCCCCAACTGCACAGCATTGACCACAACAGGCTTGGCGCCGATCACAATGAAACAACAATGTAAATTGGGGTTTGCAGGGACGCGTGGATACATGTCATAATGTAAGGAGCAAAGGCCCAGACAGTTCTGAAAACGGAGAATCCTTGCAACGGCCATCCGAGTGCAAGGCTTGAAAAATCCAACAAACACATCCACCAGCCAGGAAAAAATGAAGCTCCAGTGTCCTGGTGCATTTGCATCAGGGTTGCCAGCCTCATGTAGCAGAACATTAAAAAAAATGGGTGGCTGAGGAACTGAAGGTACCGTACTGGGTATATGAATAATTGGGGTTTCCCAATATGTTAAAGTAAATGAGGTTCCTGAAAAGCAGCCCAGACAACGGTGAGGCATCTTCAGTAGGCCTCCAAGCACCCCAAGCCCTGAAGCCCTAACTGCATCCAGCCCAGCCGCCGAAGAGACCTGCAGTTTAGGCAGCTCATCTTACCGGGAGTTAGCTTGGAATGAGCGAATATATAAATGGAAAAATATGAAAGGATCGTGTTTTGTTATTCCCTACTATCCACCAGTCAGTCATGGGAATGTAAGAAGGGGTCATCCTGAATCACGATGGTGAGGACTGCATTAAATTGGGGATGTAGGGAGGATTCTGGCTTTGGACCTCGGAGGCGCAAAGGACTTAGAAGAGAGCTTAGATCAATTGACTCTACAGGGTCTAGGGTTTAGGGTTTAGGGTTCAGGGTTTAGGGTTTAGGGTTTAGGGTGTCTATAAGCCGTTCTGGAAGTGTGGACTCTTGCTTTGGCATCGAAATCTTTGCAGCCAGGCTGCTATGGCTTTAGTTACGAGGTGCTTGGGTGGTGTGGGGTGTGCGTACTCTGCAGGTCTGGACCCAAGGGCCTGTTTTTTTTGCGTGCGAACACATCGATCTGAGCCGAAACCCTAGACCCTGAAGCTCCAGGACTCTTGGCAAAGCTGCAGAACCTTGCGAATAAATAAACAGCACATTAGCACTCACTTCTGAACCCAAAGCCCTTAAAACTTGAACCTGAAACCCTAGATCCCGGAGACCCTGAAGTTCCGGCCTGACCAGAAGAAGGGTGTGGTGGTAAACCTGGCTCGTGGATGGAACTGCCAAGGATTTTCCAAAGTTTTAGGGTCCCCATGCTCAGGGTTTAGGGTTACCCTTTTCCAGTCCTGAAAACAGGGACCTAGTACAGCCATGTTTCCAGGCTGCCGTACCTGTTATACCATGCATAGCAACCGAAGAGATCTCCTAATTGCGACGTCGTTCCTTACACCCTTGGGAAATCACAAATAAAAAACACTTGACAGGGACCAAGAAACGGCTGGTACTTGCCCAGCATGTTTTGCGCTGCCACCCGCCCCTGCTGTGTTGCCACGTCCCAATGCTCAATTCCTTGGCTTGTCGGGCGCACCGTGAAAACTCATATCATCTTCGCATTCCTCCAGGTGCCTACGAAATCATGGTGGCTGGCTCTGATGAAGTGAACAGATATCTAGAATTGCTAACCTTCGGATACTTCCCGAAAAAAACAAGCATAAGCATTAAGCGAAAAGGTTCATTGTCAGCATGGTACTTCCCTCAAATCACTCAGAAAAAGCCTATCATCATCATCATCATCATTATCATCAGCATCATTATCATCATCATCAAAATCATCCCGTGTTTTGATGGTTCCCAAAGGCAGTCCTGCTTTTCAGAAATTCGCATGGCCGAACCAATCCGGCATAGGCACGCCCTGACTCTGCAATGAGCCTTCCCGCAGGATTTCTGGCATCGGTGGGGCTAATTTTGAGAGTTCCAGGAAGGACTTTGGGGGTGGGCCTCACAGAGGGCCCCCCCCCTTGTCCAATGCCCGTATACATAACCCTGAATAACATTATGTGCGATTCATGGTTTGTGATCAGCCCTCAGGCTAGCACCTTCGCGCGGAGGAGGAGGAGAGCGACCAGAAGGCAGGAGCAGAGGTAGCAATGGTAGTTCGTAGTAGTGGTCTTTTGAAACAAAATCCTGGCCTAAATCTTGAAGAAGTGGTGGTTCTTGATATTGCTTATTCTATGATCTCCACCACCACCACCACCACCACCATCATCACCACCAGCAGCAGCAGCAGCACCACCACCACCACTGCCACCGTCGACGCCGCCACCACCAGCACGAGAAACACGACCACGACCACGACTGCTGCTGGAGCACCCCTCATCCTTCTACTGCTACTCTTGCAGTTGGCATTACTATGACGATGACACCTTCGACTAGCACAAAGCCACAGCTGCCACTTCTGTCACTACTGCCTGATACTGCGAGATCCTTCCAGGACTGCTAGTTCGACTATCTCCTGCAGCATTAGAGTCGCACGCGCTGCCCTGTGCGAATGGCGGGGTAGGCACAGACATCACCGGCGGCGAAAAGGTTGTCGCACGCTTCGGCCTCAACTTGGCCAAGAAATTGTCAACAATGGCGCCTTACAACTGAAGCAGCGGTTCAAGCATGTTAAGGCAGAGATAAAGATGCAGGCATGCAGGAATACGTTGAATGCACGCACTCGCGTCAATGCTAAGACAGTAAACAACTCTCAGGCACCTACGACCAAAGGAACTCCCCACGATTGTGCATAAGTTGAAAAAGTGCTTGTGTGAAAGTGATGAAACGGGTCCGATCTTTAGGGTTTATGACTTTGGGGCCTTAGGCTAGGTTTACAATTCAGACTCAGACTCAGACTCAGACTCAGACTTCAGGATCAGAACTCAGTGATGATTTCCGTAAAACCAAAGGATTTTCGGAGGACAGCCCTAAGAAACGCCAGAAGATTCATGCTGCAAGTCAGGACTACGCGTTAGCCTCCCTGAAGCACCGTACCCAGCAGCCTGCAAGAGCGGGTTCACAATGATGGCTCCGTTCTTGTCCTGTCTGGCTGTCTGGCTGTAACAAAGCTGCTGCGCACTTAGGTAGGTCAGCTCAGCCAAACTTGCATGTAGTTGATGTATTCCCAGAAACCTTACACACGGTCCAGCGACAGGCCCTCAATGAAGCGAGTGTTCGGGAGAACCCCAGCACCAACCACCACTGCATCTGCAGGGAGGACCTCAGGCAGCAAGACAGCGAGCCGAATTGGGCGGAGGGTAAGGGGTCACACTTTCGCATGTGAGAGTGCAAAGCGAGCTATGCTGAAAACATACAACCCATGCGTCTCGCAAGAAGATTCTAGGGTAGAGGCAAGAAATCACACTATAGGCTCTTCAAGCGGAGTTCGGGGCAACCGGACCATCTATGGCTCAGTTTATTTTTTGATGGTATTATACCTAGCCATCCTTGACCTGTAAAATTGCCCAGGACTGACCAAGGGAATTGTGGAGAAACGACGCCTCGCCATCTTCCAGCTCCACACCATTCACCGTTTCGTTACCGCGAAAGAGGCGAACTTGCGAGGTGCCAAACCTTATGTAGACTGATGAAAACCAGTAAACTGAAACATGCAACCCAAAAACTCATGCCGAAGCACCACTCGACGCCCTCCTTCTGCAGCTTCCGGGCGAAGGATGCACCAACCTTCCTCAGCATACCATGGAAAGTGATAGGGCGAGTCGTGAAAACAAAAAAGAGGCATGAGGGCTTTGGCAATGGAACACGAAGAAAACAAGATGCAGAAAAAATCACGGGAAACCGTCCCATAGCTCTGGGTCAACCGATCCCCTGCCACTCTGACAATGAGCATACCCAAACAAGAAATGCCCCGGATACATTAAAATGCCATTCTATAACGAAAGGTTTGTTGATTGCAGCGGTGCGGAAGGGTTTGGTGTCAGGAACGGAGGATTATGTCAAGGCATGGCGCTTGCCCAACACGCGCTCGAAGGGCACCGTTTCCATGGCAATCACAGCAACATCGCAGCCTTTCTTAGCCAAAGAGGAGGCCACCTCCATACCAATGAAGGAACCACCTGGGGGTTTCCGAAAATTGAAGGTTCAGGGATATCATATTGCCCAATAACGGAGGATCAAATGGAAAATTTCATGGAAACTGTCAGTATATCGGGATTTTTAGGGCTTGGGTTACGTGAGGGTAAGGTTCGTGTTGGGGAGTGCCTATACTGAGGTGCAGTTAGCTCTATATTGGGGCTCCACATCTTGGAGATGCCCACCTGTGACATGGTTCAGGGACTTGGTGCTTAGCACGTCTGTCTGAAGCTTCAAAGCAAAAGCCAAAAGTGGCACAAAGAACGGTGGTATCAGGCTACCACGGGATAGAATATCTAAGAGGGGACCCCTATAACGACCCCAAATGCTATAGTCCTTCTCATAGGGACCCCCAAAATGGTAGCCCTCATTTCGGAAAACCCCCATATCTTGGGACAGCCCCACCTCTGTGAACCCTACACCCTAGGCCCTAGACTCTGAATCTTAAACCCTGAACCCTAAACTCTTCGGAAACCCTGAACCCTAAACCCTGAACCCTAAACTTCAACTCCCTAAAACCTAAACCCATAACACCTTGGCACAGCCCCCACCTACAACAATCATCTTTTGCCCCTTCTTGGCCAGCTGGGCGATCTTTGCCGCATCCTCAGGGGTCCTCACATGGGGCTTTCTCGACGTTAGGGTTTAGGCTTTCCCAAAATTCGGATTTAGGGTTGAGGGTTTCCCAAAGTTAGGATTTAGGGTTTAGGGCTTCCCAAAGTTTACGGGTACCATGCCACCTAATCAAAAACAACAGGGTACTTAATCTTTGGCGACGCTTCTGCCTGGTTTTCCAGTTTGCAATGTTTCGGAGTGTGGTTGCAACACGTTGTTTCCAACTGCATGCTCCGAAGTATGGTATAGTGGCACACTCATCCTGCTGGGCATGGTTATTCCATCTGCTGACATGGGACTGCCAGCCGTGAGAATGGCGATTGTTGTTAAAGCATGATCAGCATTCGTTCTGTTGACCTATCAGACCTATTGGCCCTGAACCCCAGCTCCTTAGCGTGAAGATGTTGTTCAAGTCCGCGCCAGGTACGAAAAGTTTGCGAGGTGTACCACCGGTGGCAACCAGAACCTTGTCATAGTGGAGCGATTCCTGGTGACAAGCACAAAACAAATTGACAACCGCTTTGGCACAGTAAACATGCTTTGCAAGGTACAGCACATCTGTCCTTCTGCCCGTCAGCGTTCATGTAGTGCACATTTTGAGTTTTTGTGTCGAGCTTGGTAACCGAAGCATTTCGGATGACGTCAATGTCATAGTCCTGCTCTGGAGCACGATGTGTGTCGGTTCTCTCATGCGACCACACGGAAATCTCAATCACAAGTCAAAAAGTTTGGTTTTTCAGTGACGCACGTGTGTCACTTACATTTGCCTTGAGGGTAGGCCCTGAAAGCAGCCCATGACTCTCCAACATTTTGTTGTCCTTGAAAAAGCCCTCAGGTCGAAGAAGAAGTTTTTCCACCTGAGAAGCAGATGACATGCAGTCTCCATCAGTCTTCATCGGGTTAACAGGAAGTCAAACTGAAAAACTCACACAGTTCATTGCCAACACAAGAACAAATCAGAAATCAGACTGGTACCAACAGCAGCTGGAGAAACAGCCCCGCCACATTTCCGGACACCAACGCGCATAATGAAAAGAATTCACCACAGTCAACCAGAATGGTTTCATCCTACATGATGCTACCCCCCTTTACTCTGCATAACAGGTCCGAACATCGCAAGCAAAGCTATTTGCCAAATTCAAACTTGGCTGCTGGTTTGTCCAATGCTTTTGAAAGCTGCACACGGTCCTTGGAAGAGTCGTGGGGCCGTCAAGGCTTGGCAAAAACATACGTGCATTTTGGATTGTCACAAAGAGCTCTGCCACAGACAAATTGCATTCCCAACATCGTGCCAAGCATCATACGGCAAATGTGGCTCGCGGGTAATCATCACAATGCGACCTGTGAAGCCCTCCTGTGCAACAACAAAATTGGAACAAAGCCAGGAAGAAAACACACATGCTTACCATGTCGTCACCGCAGCGAAGGTGGTACCTAGCTTCCTACCAAGCACATGCAACGCAAGGCTGCCCATGTTAGCCCATGCTGCGGAGTTTAACTAATGAATCACAAACCTTACATAGCATCGCCTGGCGAAGGGTTTCGGCTGCTGCCAATGAAGCTGGCCCACCGCCCAACAGTGCGAAGACCCGCTCGTCTCCAGGCTTTCGTTTCGCCATCTGCTTGAGGACCTGCCGCAACGCGGGGATAGCGGGTGTAGTGTGCAGGGTCGTAGCGCCGTCATGAGCAATACAAAAAACCAACCTTGAAAGCCTTTTGCCGAATGTCACGTCATTCAATACTTTGCAACATGATCATAGCAGGAAGTGTGACTGATTTTCCAAAGGCAGAAATTCTTGCATGTCTGCCATTACATCCTTTTCGCGGCACTCGCAATTTTATGGATGCATTGTTTTCCATCAGCTGGCGCATATTTCTCAACTGCATTTGGCAAGGCAAGCGACGTGATGGTAAAACTGCCTATATGCTTCAACTTGAACGAAAAAATAAAAACATCCTGGCAAACTGCCCCCAGGAAGCAATCGGACACCGTACGGCATGAACGTGCTAGCCATGTAAAACGAGATACAATAAAGGAGCACGCGAGCATGTGTTGCATGCACTGTATACGTACCTTTACTTGGTGCGTGTTTGACCATCAAGCTGAGTGGTCGCAATGCTCGAGCGAAGGCCGAGCAAGGTTCGAGCTGGGCGGAACGGTGGGGTCCCGTTGTGTGTGTGTGTGTGTGTTTTTTTCTTCTTCTTCTTCTACGGCCCTCTTCGGACTGAGGTCCTGTTTGGCATCTACAACAGTTGGATTGCGCGCCGTCCGCCGTAAGCTAACTGGCCATGCTGTGCAAGAACGTATGGCATGCATCCACCAACATCTCGGCAAAGAGCGGCATGGCACCATCGTATAAAAGATAGGGGAACGGAAAAATGTTTGTGGTGTTTTCGGTTTGCGTTTGGGTGTAGTTGCTGTGGGGGGCGTCCATGCTGTTAGCCTACAATGTACTGCCACTTGGCGGTTTGAGAGGGTCAGGAAAAAAGAATTCCGTTTTGGAATCGAACAAGGTGCAGAAAATCCAAAAGCGGAATTGGACAGCCGAAATTGGAGCTAAAACCCCCAAATGGTTGGGGATGAGGGTGTCAGTCAAAGAATTGGAATGATCAAGTTTAATGTCTGAGTTGGCAGGGCGCATATGAATCAAAAAACATTTCGGCTAACGGTTTGCCAAATTGACTCACACCCCGCATCCCCCCGTTGTTGGATGAAAACCAGGAACACGTGATGTGGGGACGCGGCCGAGTGTAACTATGCAAAAGTATGGTAGAAATCATTTACATGGCGGAACTCCATGAAATCTAGCGGGTAAGGAAAAAAAAAAAAAAAAAAAAAAAAAAAAAAAAAAAAA